GTATATTGTAACCATCATTTGACACTTGAGTTCTCATCCACTTACTATTTATTTATTTGTTTGTTTGTTTATTTATTTATTTATAAAATAATAGCAAACTGTTTTTTAGAGCAGTGGTTCTCAAAGTGTGGTCCACAGACTCTGGAGTCCTGGAGACTTTTTTTTTTTTATAGTTCTGCAAGGTCAAACCAGTTTGAAAAAAGCATTAGGATGTTATTTGCCATTTTTGCAGTGTTGACATTTGCCTTGATAGTGCAAAAGCAAGGCTCTAGCACGTTAGCCTGTATCAAGGCTATGGTACCAGATTGCACTAGTAGTCATTCTTTACTGTTACGCACTTGCAGTTAAACAAACTAGTTTTAATTAAGAATGTCTGTGATGAAGCAGTAAAAATCATTAGTTGTGTGATATCTGGATATTTGAGAACATGTCTTTTTAACTTATGTGACAAAATGGAAGTGCTCATAAAGCACCAAAGTGCCATGATTGTCTTGAGGCACAGCAGTAGTGCGGCTGTTTGATTTGTGAGCTGAACTAGCCACTCTTCTCATGGGACACTATTTTGAAAGAACAACTGGCATATAAAATACGGCTTTTTGAACTTTGCAAAAATGAACCAAGTAAACCTTGGTTGTAGGTTCTAACTTTATATATGTATTGTCAATGATAAAATTCTACTTTTAAAGTGAAAATTAGGATTCTGGGACATTCATATCTGCTGCCATAAGCTTGATAGTTTCTCAATACTTAGTGACTTTTCTCACAAGTGGTGGTGACATTAAGCAAGTTTTTTATATATATAGTGAAATATGTCAAAATTTGGAAGATCTGCATAACTCTGGGAAACAATATTTTCCAAATGACTGATACATAATGTTATAAAATCTGGAATGAGTAAAAAGGATATTCAAAATATAAGTGGGGCCAGTGGATTTTAATTTGGGAGAGTATGAAAAGTTTACTGATAAGGTTTCAGATTCAACATTGCAACCAACCTTTAAGAAACTTCTACCTGTTAGTTTTGCTTTAGAAGAATATTCACAGTTATATAAAAAGGTTATTAAAACAGTCCCTACTCCTCCAATGAAGTACCTGTGTGAGGCCAGATTTTCTTCATGTACTTCAACCCAAAGCAACATACTGCAGCAGAATGAATGCACAAGCTCATTAGAGAATCCAGCTGGCTTCCATTAAGCCAGTCATTACAGAGATTTGCAAAAATATAAAACTATGCCACTCTTCCCACTAAATTTTATCTTGTCTTGGAAAATATAGTTTTTTAATAACCAATGTGTTTGTTAACATGTAATGGATTTTTTCTTTTTAAATGAATTTATACATAAATATTTTTTAAATGTCTCCATTCAAATTCCTAATAGAATACATATTGATAGATTCAACCTACAAAAACAAAAGCATTTGGTTTCCTGAAACCAAAGTTTGAGACCCATTGTCAGAGCTCTGAACTGGATTTAAAGATATAATTTTTGAAGTGTGGTCCACAAAAGACCAGCCTTAGGATTATTATAAATAATACGTATAAAAATGGATATTCCTGGGCCTTTTCCCACATTCCTGAAATGGACTCTCACAGCATGGGGACGGAAAATTTCCACATCTGAAAAGATTTTCCGTCATTCTGTTGCGCACACAAGACCCTGCACTGGTCAAAGGTTTTGGAGTTCGTGTCTGGATTGGCTACAGTTTATTAAATGATCTTGGGTAATTCTGTTAGCTTCTTGGAACCTCTGTTTTCGACATAATAAGTTGGACCTGTGGGCTTACATTATAAAGCCTATTCAGAGAGCCTCAGATAAAAGGATTTAAAAACATCCCACATGTTGTCATTTCTTAAATTACATGACTTACATGAATTAAGATAAATGACTGAAGTATATGCTGCAAAGCAGTATCCTTGACTTTAAAAAATAGTTTTTAAAGTAATCTTTTAAGACTTTTAAATGTAGTCTGCTGATCTATTATCCATCAATTTCAAAAACTCACAATGGACATTGTCATTAGTGCACGTTATCTGGGTTCTAACCCAGAGTGCATTCCCCAAAAAACAATACACCAAAAGAGAGCAAAATGAAAATCATAAAAAAGATAAATGTAGACTACCAAAAAATAAATAAATAACAGCTATATAACTCAGATATAAGATGAATCTGAGGTGCCAAGGGGCCCTGAAAAATGAAAGCTTTTTTAAAATAAGAGATGATCCTCCCTGCCTGGGGGCTGCATAAGGAAAGAGATGTACAGTCCCTTTAATGTTCTGCTGAGCCCCAAAGTCCAAAGCTCCATTCCCTCAGACCCCCTGAAGGCAAGGGCTGGCCCAGGGTTTGTAAAGCACACTTGGAAGCAGTCCTTCGAGAGCTTTAAAAGTTAAAAGCAAAAACTTTAAACTTAATCTGTTGCTCAGACAAATATCCAGTCAAGGAGGTGCAGCTGTGGGCAGACTGCGTCCTCTCTGCCCT